TCAAAGTGGCACATAAGAAGAGTATCAAATTCCCATGAAATATTGCTGTCAAAATCAATGATACGCTGAAGAAGTTGGTTCAGAATTACCTTTGAAGCAGATAGAGGTTACATTATAAAAACAGGTGGACAAACATATCAGGATTTATTTTTTCTTGCCGTACAATAATCCAGCCGCTGTTCCCATTAAAGCTCCACCGATTATGCTCTCTATTGATCCTGGCGGATGCATGAAACCATATCCACCATATCCGTAACCATAAGGATAAGGAGGATACATTGGTGGCGGTACAGGTGGAGGAATTCCTGCAAGATTCATTAAAAAATTTTTAGACGAAAATTTTGTTTTGAAAAAATATAAAAATAAGAATTGCCGTCGTAACATTACAATATAAGGTCTCATTTTCAAAAGATTTGTAAGAAACGAATAAAATAATAATCAAAATTTTACCATAGGGATCATAGCCGTAAATTCCACCAAATTGGCAAAAGACATTGACGAATAGTGAAATCAACAAGAATTTCGCAAATAGTAGCATTATCTTTATAATATGCTGGAATAGAACAGCGTTAGGCGACAAAGAGCTTGACAATGAATGCTGCGGCAATACTAGCTGTAGAATATTTTACAGGTTTTAAGGGGAGTAGTGAGTGTGTCGATTGTTTCCGATTGATTCGTAACACACTCTTAAAAACATGAACCGGCCAAAAATTGTCGACAACGAGAGACGCTTAGAGCTAATCGTATGCCATTCCCGACCTCGTACCAGTTTCAGGCATGACACATAACGTGCAGTTTTTATGATAAATATTATAATACGAAGATGAACTTTATGGATCAACTAATCCTTGTTCGTTGATTGTTCATCTCAGTTGTCACAACATGAGTGCTGGAGCCCTATGATGTGACGGGCAGAGTTTGAAATTTTTTTGGATTTTTTTTCTAATGTTTTTTATGGGAAGAAGATTGTTGAAAAAATGTAAATGCAAAGTAGGAGCAATCATATATTATTTTTTACAATGGGTTTCCCACATTCTGTTTCGTCCCTACAGAATTATGAGCAATAATTTCTTCTCTGCGAAAAGCCGTAAGACATTGAAACTGGAAAAAAAGGCCGCAGAAGAAATCCAGAC